TCTAAAGAGCTCTTCGGAGACTACAAAAAGAAAGTAATAAAAATAACAATGGATATAAATTTTTCCTTTCCTATTTATAAATGCCAACGCTATCCGTAAACTGGGCAGGCCACGTGTTAGATGTCAGCAAGGGGCGAAGTACCAACATTCCTCGCAAGATAAACATCGGATCTCAATGCAAGCAAATAAGTGCAGGAACTTTATAATGTAGGCATACTAAACAACGTACGCTTCAAGTGGAACTTACTGTTCTTGTTGAGAGTTTATTTCTTTTTGCGACGCTGTTTAAGAGGAGCTCCTTATTTATAACTTAAGTATCACCATTGAACATTTTTATAACGTCTTTTAAAGGACAATAAGTAGGCACATAAGGTCCTGGACCTCAGTTTTAGAATTTAATATGAAAATTTTTTGGAACTAATGTTACAACGTTTCTTAATAGTGTTAATGACATTCTTTAGAATTTCTATCTTGATTCGTTTTTTTTAATAAATGAAACGTGGTCTACTAACTATATATCAATTAGAATTTTTTTCAATACAGTCTATATTTTCTGTAAGGAATTTGTTAGCCTCAGTATTATGTAATATTTAAATTCCAAGAAAATGCTACTAGTAACTTGAAAGTCATTAAGGCTGTGATTATTGAAATGTGTGCCGCTTGAGATAATTAGGTCAGTCTGGCGACCCGTCTCATTGGTACCGTAATATACTATTCAGCCTTTGTATGACCGCCATTGTTAGTTATTATAGTGTATTGTGATGTTATTACCGTGGTTATTGACCGTAGGAATGCCTGAAATGGCAAAAGGTGACAAATAAGTATATGGAAATTTAAATTTAGACGTTATTAGGATCGAATCGTAATGTCTTACAGCTTATAGTTAACCCGTAATCCTTGAATCTCTTGATGTATCTAATCGTGCTTGACCTAAACCGTCGTTAAAGATATATGCTATTCGTATATTACGCTAGTGTTGCAGATAAGATTTGATATGAGACTCAAATGGAATATTCATTACAAAACCTGGACAACAGTAAAGTTTTTGTTTTTAGAATACGAGAGTGTATAAAACGAAAGGAAGGCCCCTTGTTCTAGAGAAATGATATGACGTGCTATGAATAACTAAATGCGATTAGCGTTGACGCTATATTAAAATACATATAAACTTCTTAGAGTAAAGAATACTTATGAAATAATTTATAAGAAAATGTTAACGATATCTAGATTTTCATATCTCATTAGACAAAATTTGAATGGAACTAACCTAGGTAATAATTTAAAGTAGGCAATACTTTAAACTCTGAGTTATAGATGTTAAAAATATAAAAAACTAGATTTTTTAAAATAATTTTTGGTGTATTATGTAGCAATATTAAACTATGAATTTATAATGGAAAAAAATAAATCCTTTATAACCGAAAGTCTGGTAATCCGACTTAATTGAATGGCCATGACCGCTACCGTTCGTTGTACTAGTAACTGGCCGACACACCAGCCGATAGGCCGACATGCCGACATACGACCATTGTTCTGAACCCAGCTGACGGTCACGGTCAGTAATTGAGCGATTTCATTTTGGGGTCAATTGTCAGCCTTTGTGGCCTATTCCAATTATATATGTTACTCGATTAGAGCTTCATAAAAATTGCTTCCCTTAGCCGTTATAGAATTAAGAATGAAAGGAGCATTTCAAAAAGAATTTGATATTAAATTTACTGCGAACTCGTCTTCAGATAGCATTGATTCGACTTAACAGTAAAATGTTTAATTACTCTCTGAGCAATAACCTTTTTTTGTTACTAAAGGTGTGATTAGATAGAACGGGACAAGATTAATTTTATTGTTCTATAAAGCAACGATGAACAAAGCATGTGTTACTAATTGGAATACACTCTTACAAGAACCACCTGGGATTATGAAGTTTCTATTGTCTTATTTGTCAAAGAAAATGGTTCTGCTTAACAGTTTTTTACAATTTAGTGTCACTTTTCTATCAAAAGTATTGATCTAGATAGGTTTAATCTTTTCAAACTTCACTTCCATCTATCGTAAAAATAATCTATTTATATTTATAATAGAAAATAGAAATGGTTAGAAGTGTAATCATTATTTTATAGAGCTCAGGAAATGGTTTATGATAGAAGTGATCTCTAAATCACTGCGACGGAATCACCGTTAAATTGGTCAATTTGGTGGAGCATCTACACGGTGGTTGCATATGCGTTACAGTGACTTTGGTTGGAACGTGACATAACTGTTATAACAATTAACTACGCACTATGGGTTTGTCATCAAGGACGATACAACGAGATCAATATTTAAGATTAACCAAACAGTTATGTGTTAACAGCTATATTGTTTTTGCGAAGAAGATAACAGTTTTTATTTTAAATAGAAATAAGGATTACTGGAAATTCTATTAAAGTTTCAGCCTCTAACCAAAGATTAATATAATTTGTGGAGTGCATTCCCCTAAAAGTCACAAAATAAAAAGTTCCTAGTTATAAAATTTTAACTTAAAATTGTTAATATTTTAATTAGAAATAGGTACGCGAAAGACTTAAAATTAGCAATCTCAAGTATGTGAACGTTTTTGAACAGTATAACTTGTGTTTATGTTGTCGTACATATAGGAAGTTCAAGCTTATAAATATTTTAAAAACTTCTCGTGGCAGTACCTAGTTCATAATATAAAATTAATGCTATTTGTACTGTTACCAACATTATGAGGTTCAGAGATGTCTCATAAGACCCGTCATACATTTATTATAACAACGTTACGGCCTGTTTCCTTTTCTTAACGGTTTGCGATTGTTATAAAATTTTATTTCGTAATACAATAGCTTGTTAATTTACTGTTTACTTTCTGCATGGCTGTAATAAAATAATTAATTTTATTGCACATTTACAACAATTAAACACACAATAGCTTTCAAATACTTAGAGCTCTGTTTTTATAAATTAGTTAACACAAAAAAGAAATCGCTAAATTGATACGAATGATGATATCTATTACAAATTATTCTTTATCTATTTGCCGTATTGTGTTGCTTTTTTTAATGAAAGAATTCTATGAACCTAATGACAATGAAAATTGCTTTCACCAACCGTTTTCGTATCTAAGATCGCACCTAAATCTTTGTAACACTTCCAACTTTTAAAACAATGGCAATAAAATGATAAAAGTGCGAAGGTGCGAAAGATTTGGATCAGTGTTTCCGATGAAAGGATATCTCGGCTATTTAATTCATTTCTTATTTTAGTAATAACTGTTTATTTAAGTATAAAATATTTTAGGATATAATTATAATCCGTAGCTATTTTTGGAGAGTAATTTTCGGTGTTGGTATTTTTTTCTTATCTACTGTTAGCAAATATTGAGTTTATATATCATATATGTAACCTACTTCTTAATATGTCTAAGTCTATTCTGCATCATATCCAAGATTAAGCACGTGAGTAGAGACGTGCGAATGACTACAAATTGTCGTTACCTCGAGACCGTTCTGTTTGCGGTTCGTTAGTCAGGTTTACCGCATTTCGCGGTCACTTCCTCTAAATTTTGAAACTCATGGTATATAATACGTGTTCTCTAGACTTGGGTACCGTTTCTAGAAGTGTGCATTAAACATGTGCCATGAAAGACATACCGAGTCAAATAAAATGTCAGTCGTTAAACTAAATTGCTGTTATTTGTATTACATTGAATTAAAATTGTATATTCGTCTGCATAAGCTAGAAATATTATAATTTTCTTTTAATGTCATCTTATAGAGATTACAAGCGTAAATTTAATCTGATCTTTGGGTCGTACGTGCTAGTTATTTGGCACGTACCACGCTCATATTATAAAATCTCTTGATAGAAATCGGCGGCGAGAACATAGAGGTTGCTATTTAAAAAGACTGTTATTAAATATGGTTGATGATGCAGAACATCGATGGCAATCGAAAGTAGCTCTATTCATTAAACATGCACAAGAATAGTTTTAGTTGTTCTCAGACTAAATAATACAATCTTACTTTCACGTTTTGCTGATGGTCATTTTGTTTATAAAAAAGTTCAGTGAAAGCGTTATTGAAATGTAAAAAAACGGAAATTCTTGCTAGGTGTATCTGACCTGTATTCGTATCATGATTAACGTTGTATTTACCCCAGTAATAAAATTAATCGAACTTTCTATTCCGCTGAAGTGACGTTTAGTTTATACGATAAAATGTTTTATGTTAATGTTATAATGACATATGCATGATGAAATTAAATTGTTTATTATAAAATTTAACGAAGACTTAACCTATATTGGTACAATATAGGGATTTATACAAATGAAAGACAATATCAACGCTCAGGTCGGCCAAGTTTAAAGTAAATAGTATGCGTTGGTATGTCGCTGTATTTATTTGGATTAAATAGTTGAGTTTAAACACGAAAGGTATTCAGAATAAATGCAATAATTTTAGAATTTTTATTTCTTATTGTTCTAGGTGAAAAAGTCACTATGAGGGGAAAAATCTTGGGCTTGGCGCGGCTAGCATTTCTACTTCTTCAATCATCGTTAGTATTAAGTAAGTATAAGCATTACAAAAATTCCTTCTGATTAAAATTTCTACTAGTGCAATGCATTTATTTATGTATTATTCCATCACAAAAATTAAAACTAAGATTTTTATAACTTCATAGTTTTTATAAAACACTTCAAAAATGTTTAATTATTATTAACATTTCTAGCCTTTACTATACAAATATGTAATATACCCAAGTGTGGAACTTAAGGAATGTTTCAATGTCATTAACATATTATACATAATTCCTTGCGAGTATCAGCAAGAAAATATTATATTACCACACAATGGATGGGATCACAAACCCGGGAGCTGTTAGTTGGTATTCCATTGTGAAATGTTTAGACAATTCAGTAGACACTACTTGTTCCCAGTGTATGCTTCCGCAAATAGCGGTTCGGTTTTACTTATCAGCCTTATTTGTTTATAAAGATCATGCTTGACATACTTCGTTAAAAGCTTGTTAGTATTTCCATTTGAATTGCATATGCATAATTGATCACCGGCTTGTTTACTCAAATATGGTTACAGCAATATATTCTTAATATAGCTTTTACCTGTTAGTGAACTTAATCATTATAAATTTAATGAAGTACAATTTTATCATAGCTTTACAGTTAAACCAAAATATGTTTTTTTGACGAAGATTATTTTATTATGTAAATAATATTACATACTGTTTATATTTTTTCAATATTTATAATTTCTACGACATAATACTAAAATTAAATATTTTTTCAGGCCGTAGCGCATTTGAAAAGCTGACTGATGTAGATTTCGCTGGCACCGCTTACTATACCGTTCGCAATCTATCGTTGTACGAATGTCAGGGTTGGTGTAGAGAGGAGCCCGATTGCCAAGCAGCCGCTTTCAGGTACAAATTATTTCTTAACTAATATTTAAAGACATAAAAGATTCTTTTAGCGAGATTGCAAACGATAATGAGTACTAAATTGAAATTATTATAACCATCAAATGAAGATCATCTCTAGATTTTCAATCAAGAACATGACTTGTCATTCTGAATGGTCATAAACATCAACTCTGGTCACGGTTAACCTAAATGTCTATGATAAGATCCGATTGACGTTAGTATTCACCTATCGACAGACATCAGGGAAATCGGATCTGAAATTCGCTACAAGGGTCATGAGTTAGAACGTGTCTTACTTTAATGTCCGATTTAAAATTAAAAATAAAAGATTCCATCTTCATCGTCATCACTAATCTATTTATTCATATCTTACCAAAAACTGAACGAAATTTTAAACCGATGCAATGGTCGATCTAAATAGCATAGCAATAAAAGTTACCATATGCGTTCAACAGACCATTGTTATTGAGGCATTTGGTCGCATATCGTGACTATTGCATGTTTAAATTCATATCCAATTCGGTATCTAATTTGATTTTCTAACGGACAAAATGTAAATTTCTTTAGGTTAATTAAATGACAATAACCGCATTGCTATAAAATTAAATCTGATAACGAAAGTATGAACTCATATAATTAACGAATCCTCGTTCATTAATCATGAACATCCGTTCATGATTAATTAATAAGTAGAAATGTGTAAAACGGAGTAACAAATGAGATAAAAATATTTGATATGTGCACATCTTTTTGGAGCTAAATTTAGTGATATTCTTTGTTATATTCTGACTGCAATTTCATATTTTTCTTATCTAGATAACTAAAGCATTTATTTAACAAAGTAAATAAAGAACGATTTTTGAAAGTATTAATATAATTAGAATTCCATATTTAAGTAGATGAAAGTAAAATATTTTTCCTTATTGACATTATTGCAAAGTAATTAAATTGTCTCGTTAAAATTAAAATTCATGCGAGCTAAACCTAGTTATGAAGGTTTAACTGTATGTGTAATACATTTAAATAAAGCTATTAAAATGGTTACGAAAGTCTTAAAAATCTTTATTCACATTATAACTAACTAAAAATCTTCTAAAAGAAGCAAACAGTCATTTCAGCATCGTCTAAGGATCATTGCACTCGTATCCAATTCAATTAAAATAGACGGAACTTTCCTGCTACTAATTTATTATTGTAAAATAACGTATCTCAAATCGACCTGAAGAAAAAGCGATCTGACAATGGAACGGGACGATGGTATTAACAATTGTTAACTGTTAGCCTCCGCTCGAAGCCTTATAGAGATAACTAGCTAGCGTTTACAGGAATAACATACCACCGTTCTTATCTTGTATCAGTGATCGCTTGTTATTTGTTTATCGTTTTTGTGTTGAAAAATACTTAATAGTACTACAGCATACTGAATTTTATAGTATTAAATTGTTTTTTGATAGTAGAAATTAGTCTTTCAAATAACAGTAAATTTTAAGAGACATTTAGTTATTTTTATTTCTAATATCGTGATCTTTGTCTTCGTGCTGTCAATTCTGATGATATCTCATTGGAATCATAAGATCACTTTGATTTATATTGTGATCGGACATATTAAATTGCCTTCATTACAATTTCTTTTTGAACCCAATTTAGTACCTAATCAATTTAATATTGATATGCATAAATACTGGAAAACGTCAGGGAGTTTAATAATGATTATTTGATAGCTCCACTTTTATCCATTCACAAGAAGCAGTAGTCATTTATTAGAGCATACAAGTCATTAATTCGTTTTAAGATTAAAACGTATTTGAGATTTTAGAGAGAGAGATATTCATCAATGTGAGCTATTTTACAATTTCAGTGATTGATGTGATGTTTAGACGAGATGAGGCGAAGTAATGATGGCCTACAATATCATACAAGAAGCATGATTTGTTTTCAAGCTACTTCGTGTACTATTTATGCTGTTTTGTTTTTATTCAGCTGCATCAAATTATGGTAAAATCTCTCATAACGGGGATATGTATAGATATTTTGCTATTAACAGACTCCAGAGACGGAAATCTCTTTAAGAATTTATCAAACTAAACGTCTATTGGCCCTAATAAAGTAACATTCATTTCATTAGTAATTTAAATAAACCTTATAGATTTGCATATAAATTTACATATACATAATTTTAATGAATAAACATAAATATATTATGAATAGACTATAAATTTTACCAAATGGCTTTCTTCGCACAAAGTGTGCTTAGTAGCTTAAGATTTATTACAGATATTGCGAAACGACGGTCAAAAACGGTATCATTAGTTAAAGGGCTTTGGGCATTAATCATTTTATATTGACGCGTTGGTATTTTGTTCTTACATATATAATGTACTTATATTGTTGATAGTTTAACAAATGAAAAAAATAATCGTGGAAATGAGCTTATAGACTTTTTATTAAAGATTAACTAGAAGTTACCGTAATAGCTAACGACGTTTGTAATACATATTACATAAAGGTAATTAAAGGTTGTAAGTATATTCTGTTATTGATAAGAATGATATTTAAATTGACCGGTTAATAAAAAAATATTTGGATTGGTCCAAATATGAAAATATTTAACAACTTTCTTGATGTGAATTTCGATTGAATGAAATTAGTTACAAGCTGGCAGTAGCAAGGTTGATACGTAAATTGGATTTTAATGAAAAAATTACAATTGTTAACAAATATTGTAATTATATGATTTTTCGATTAACTAAAAGTGTTGTTTCTCTCTAACTCCGTTATTTTTCAATTTATCATATATTTTATGATACATTATATGAGTCGTAATTTTCTATAGACATTAATTTGGAATCTCACTTTATGACTTTTATAAATATTTAATCAGTTTCTTTGTAGGATGTAATCAATGTATATATATTTTATATACATCTAAGTTTAATATAATCCTGTTAGTTGCATAAAATATTGAATATCAGCTTAGAACGGTAAACAGATCCGTTATATAGGTAAAGTGTAGCGCGGTGTCATTAACAAGAGTACAGTGGATTAATGCTAAAAGAAAATACAGATTGTAATTGACTGAACGTCTTGTAGAAAACACTGTGTAATATCATGTTTTGCTCATCAATATAGTTAAGTATTGTTTGCTATTTTTAATATATGACAAATGGAAAAGAAACTCATTTGCTTTGTATGTCATTGTTCGACACAAAAAATTTACAACAGAATGAATGTAATTTTGAATTAATGTTTCGTCGAACAATTTTTGTTTTTACAAATTATATGAGAAATCATTTAACTTCATGAGGGGCATTATTTATATATTTTTGAATTTCATTTGCGATATTATTTTATTGTTAATTTAATTATAGGAAATACAATTTTAAACAATAACATAAATATTAACCCATACCTTTGCTGCCATGTTTTAAACTAAATTGTAGAAATAATTATATTAAGACGAAAAACAGTTTCATAGAAAACAAAATTACTAGATATATCCCTACTAATATTATAAATGCGAAAGTAACTCTGTCTGTCTGTCTGTCTGTCTGTCTGTCTGTCTGTCTGTTACTCTTTCACGCCTAAACCACTGAACTGATTTTAATGAAATTTGGTACTGAGATAGAGTTGACCTTGAGAAAGAACATAGGATAGTTTTTATCCCAGACTTTTGAAACGTTCTCTTGGAAACGCGATATAACCGAACTCCACGCGGGCGAAGCTGCGGGCGGAAAGCTAGTATTTGTATAAATGTAGCAGTAATAAGAAAAATATTTATCCCGTTTATCCCAAATGTTTAAATTATTTTCATGTTAATATGGAAAATAATGATTAGCTAATCATGGAGTCAAGAGTTTATGCATTTAGACCATTATGTTTTATGTTTCTAGGATAACGTAAATAACATTAATTGCATCCGTTATTGACTATTGAAGTAGTATTTGCCTGTCTCTGAATAGATTAATGTTTTCTCGGTGTCTCAGTATCCCGGTGCATTGCTCCTCTGAGATGGAATGTTATTTTAAATGATTCTCCACTACATAATACGCATTTGTATATATAATACTCTAGAATATCCACATTAAAAAACAATAATTATATACTTAAAAATAGTTTCCATAATCTTTTAGTATTATTTTTGGTACACATTTTAATGGTACTTTTTGTTCCAGTTTCGTATTAAATCCGCTTACCCCGGTGCAGGAAACGCGTTGCTTGTTACAGAATGATACTCAAGCAAATAATCCCATGGCAACTCCTCAGGTATGTTTGTATATATTTTGTTTAAGATTTCCTTTATCGTGTAATACTGTAGGATATAATGGTTGAGTAGACGCTAGTACCTAATTAGGATTTAGGTTTTAAGTTTAACTGTAATCAATTAAATTATAGATTGTTATTTTCTTAATAACAAAGAAAACACATTCTTTATATCTATTTTATTTTCTAATTGTGTCATATGTCACTTATTTAATAAAATGTTATATTGCCATGATTTACATTAAAATACAAAAATTATGGAAATACTGTAAAAAATAACCTACAAAAATATTTATAAATTGTTTATAAAATACGCTCGCTTAATATTCTGGTGTCCTTGTTAATGTTCTCGTTTTTGTGATTCAAGAGAAAGCGGAAGCACTCATTAAATCCCGTGTCGAAGTAAATAGTAGCAGCATAATCCGTTACTCGCTTTCAGACCTAATGAGCGGTACGACAGTAAATTGTATGCTAACAGATGCATTGTAAAATTGCAACTTGTTTTCTATCTATAATGAAAATAAAAGGACGCGTGGGTAAATTTATACAGCCGCGGTTTAATATATTACAATGCTGTTGACAGCTCGTTGTAGATGAGATGACAGATTAAATAAGTAATGGCCAGCATGTATAACGCTAATTGACTACTGCTAAATTATAAAAAAAGAAGAAATTCTTATTCTAGTTTGTTTTATATATTTTTTATTCAAGGAAATGTAAAATTTTCTTTGCAGCGTTCTGTAAACACGTATTATATGGTTAAAATTCAAGTGAGGTCAGAGAATGTGTGTATGAGGCCCTGGGCGTTTGAACGTGTACCCGGCAAGGCTCTAAGAGGTCTCGACAATAGTATTATCTACACCACCACCAAGGAGGCTTGTCTTGCTGCTTGCCTTAATGAGGTAATAAAACCACTTACCTAAAATTACACTGTCATTTCTATGAGCATTCCGTTTCAGGCAATATGTTCTTCTATTTATAAGTGAAACGCCTTTTCGATGTTGTCTCTATACATATATATATATTCAATTCATATTTATGGCCCTGTCCTAGTTCGCGAGATAAAAGGGAATGATAAAAGTTCTCGGAGTACAAAATAGACACTTTGTTTATGGTAAATCGATTACAGGTTTAAACGTAGTGTTGTCTCTTAATATTTAAATAGATTTCATAGAATTGATATTGGCTGAAAGCTAAAACTACTTTTATTTTAAGAACAAGAATACTGATAAGGAATTTTATGTTCACCCAACCCTTTACATCATGATTCTATTGATAATAAATTATGCTTATAACAAACAGAAAAAGTTTCCGTGCCGTTCAGCGGAGTACGAGTATGGCAGTATGAGATGTTCTTTGAGTGATTCAGATCGTCGCACCGGACAGCATTTTGTACAACTAGTAGACACACCCGGCACTGATTACTTCGAGGTAACTGTTACAACTACTAATAAGTTACTTAGTTAAAACTATTCGTAATGGATTTTAACATTCATGGCTCTTTTATCTTAATTCACTGTACAAATTGCTATCGAACTAGGAAGGAAAGGTGTCTTAGTATTGCAATGACCGTAGTACAAGAAAATTATTCATTCCAGTAACAGCATTGGACACCGTTGTTGGTCTCATTCCGATAAATTGAATTCTGTGAACCTTAACATAATTTGTACTTGTAGTGTAAATAAACAGTGTGATTATCGGTGTTCCTCGCTTAAGTGATTTGTGTGTGGTCGTTAGAATCTATGCCTGAAGGCGTCCCAAGCGTGCAAAGGAGCGAGGGTATTCACGGCACCACGCGTGGGCGTTGCTGAAGACAAAGTGGCACAATATGCTGGCTTGCATTATTATACTGATAAGGAGCTACAGGTGAGATTTAAGATCATACGATAATGTTATATTTTTTGTAAGGAATCCATCGCTTTCTTTGTAATTATAAGAACATTTTACGAGTCTATAATATGTATCTTATGAGATTTTACCGAGAGCTTTCGTAAGTGCAGTTATTTATGGGGTTCTTGAGTTAATTGGATAGCCATGGTATATGTAATTTAAACTAGCTTTTTATAACTTATATCCTGTAGATATTTATTATTCATCTATTATAGATCCTTAAAAACATCAAGCTACAGTCGTAAAGGATTTTTTTTATAAACCTAAGAATAGTTTTCAATTTTAGATCGTTATTAGATAATTTTATAGTTCAATTAATAAGTCAACGGAAGAATCTTCTATATATATAAAAATGGATTGCTGTTCCTTAGTCTCGCTAAAACTCGAGAACAGCTAAACGGATTTATCTTATCTTAGTTTTGAAATGTTCGTGGAGGTTCAGTTAAGGTATAAAAGCTGAAAAAAAATGATTCATTACTGGGAAAACCATAAAAACAGCCCTTTTCTATTTCCCATACAAACGTTTTCTTTGACATTAGATTTGACAACTAACTAATATGTCAATCATTCTGTTCGATTGAAACAGGAGAATCCTGATTATTAAGGGCCTCTAAAACGGAATAGAGTTCGCCCGGTCAGCTATACATATATTACTAATGACGAAACTAACGCGGACGAAGTCGCGGGCAAAAACTAGTGTTACATAAAATTTTATTGTATGTATGTATTATTTAGGTAACGTCGGAATCAGGATGTCGACGTGCTTGTGAGATAGAATCAGAGTTCCTGTGCCGCTCCTTTTTGTACCTTGGAGCGCCGCATTCATCCATCTACAACTGTAGATTGTACCATCTTGACCATCACACGTTACCTGACGGGCCCTCAGCTTACCTGAACGCTGAACGTCCACTAATTGATGACGGCGAACCGATCGGCAAATACTTCGAGAACTTCTGTGAAAGTGAGTACCTGTCCCAAGTAATTCCTCATTATCATTTACAATATTTATTCACGTCATGAAAGTAGCTGTTATGTTTGTAATAAATTTACTAGAATTTATGTTATATGAGATTGTCTTGTGTTCTAAGTTATTACGACTTCAATTGTGTAGAATTGAAAATAAAATTCTATACATATGTGATCATTACATTCTAAACAATATTGTGTAAGTTTCATTCTCAGTTTCATTGCATTACCGTGTAGATGAATATTATATCTTGGTGAGTTAATTAAAAAAACTGGTAGTATTTTATAATGTCGGTAATTATACGACCGGCGCCTGCGCATCCGTAGTGAGTCGTTGGTACGCTGCCCGCAGATTGATATTAACGCGATTATAGTTGAACATACATTCATTCGTAATATTAATTTAAAGGGAACGTTGATCAGGAATATCTTTCATAACTTTTACTCATCTATTTTGAGAGAACATATTTTATTAGAATATAAAGAAATAAACATCGTTTCATGAGTATTGGATATTATTTTAAATATGTAAATCTGTAGTTCTATTTTATGTATGTATGTCTTTCATACAAATATCAGTCTAGCTTCTTGCTTTATTATTCTACGTAGCACTTTAGCGAGACAGACCTAATCTACACCTCGTCAGAGATTTATGAGATTAATTAATATTATTAACACGCTTATCCCGGATGTGCAAGCTGAATCACAGATGAGACGTGAATAAAATTAATGTCAGCTGTGATTACTATAAGTAGAAATGTTTTTGCGAACCAACAGAATCTAGAAACGATACGTGTCTTATAACTTCCAATTCTTTATGACTTTCCTTCAATTTTATTTTTAACTGTTTAGAAATAAATAAAATGTTTTAAAATATTCATGTATGTTACGTATTTATGAGAGATTAAAATTTATTTAAATATATAATCACTACTAGCGTAAAAAAAAATTGGTATGACATATTGCGAAGTTAATGTCTTACCTGGAATGCTGTCAACACAACGACCTGTACAGTTAAACTTACAGTGTTAGCGCACTTTAGATATTTAGAAAATAACTTAACTGACTTTACGTTCTATTCCACTGTCCAAAAAATATATTACTCTAAGTAATTTATTGTGAAAGAAAGATTTAACAGACAAAATAGTGCTTTTAATCTTTAAAAACATGCTATAAAAGTGTTGTAGTGTCGTTTAGAATTTATATTTAATTGAAAATGTCTTCATGACAAAAAACTGTTCCATCCCGAACATTCAGCCTGACAATAGCGACCTCGGTGGTCTATTAACGGTTTACAAACTACAGAAATTGTCTTCAAACGGCTTACAAAAAATATATCTCAGGCAATTGTGTAATACAGAAAGATTATTCTGATGCTATACATTGTATCCTACGATATACTATATTCTGCCGAAATGAAATATCATTATAAAACTCACATTATAATTAATTTATTTTAATGTACCCGGCATACAAATAACTTTATTAATGCACCGTAAGCTTACGGAATTTACCTTTGAAATGAGAGCAATTATACAATACTTCTCACCTACCGTTCGTGGGAACGTTATGTAAAAATTGTTTTTATATGGTGTTCATATTAAAAATTGTGTGAGTATTACTTTTTATAATGATTATTAACAGCTACTGCGCTTTTTCTAAAGCACTAGATATGAGAATAAAGTGTCAAAAGGATTTAATTGTTGTTAAAGTAATTTTATATTGTGTTTGATAGTGTTCACATGAGTTAGTCGCTAATTATTTACGTGCAAAATAGGTGCTTATCATATGGTTTTTAAGACTATAATTGGATAACTTAAAGAATATGTCAGCCTTTTCCTACATTTAGTTATATGACGATAAACGGGGGTTAATTCTAAGATCAATGAGAGGTCTGGGTCAGCGGCAATCAAGTCATCAATTCCGATCGTAAAGCCAGGATATATAGCTTGCAATATATTTCATGTTACAAATACTCGTTTTCTTATTTGTACAGCTTTCCTTAGTCCGTTGCAAACGGTTTACCTTATATGTTACATTATCAACTGTTACGCATGATTCTATGAAACATTTCCTTACTATGAGTGGTTAAAAACATGTATGTCATATTAAGAATGATAAATACTAATTTAGGTTTATAGTAAAACAAACACTGATATAAATGTAGGCTGTAACTCTGTCTATTACAGTTAGGTTCCGCTATAGGAAAGTCTGGATAGCTACTCCATTACGTGGGCCTGCTTGTACGACATTTAGATTGCCATCTATTGCTAAAGGCCGAGTTCACTGCAATGTCAATAACATTATATAAAGATACAGATAATACCGTTACATTAAAATTCAAACCCCCACATCCAACGTAATAAGCAAAGTAATTGAACGCTGCTAGCTTATCTAATATTTGTAATCAATGTCTCGTAATCGAATAAAGTCCGTCTGTATTGCAAATTGATCGAATTAATCGAATAATGAATAGGCGCATCGATATCTATTACATGCCCACAAAATTTCGTTATGTTTACAATGTATTATGTGCTGAATCACCGCGCAGTTGCATTTTGGTGCAAAAAAAAACGTGGCGCAATGGCGTCGCTCGTGCGTGCTTTATAACGGTGGTGTTACACGAAATTGAAAATTAGTTTTTTTAAAGTCGGCTCCGTTTTAGATGGGTCCTAATTCATCCGTAATTGAATCGAGATGGTATTGATTGCGAATTGATAAATTATTTATAGAATACAAAGTGAACACTTACGAGATGGTATGCTATTGATTACTTAGTAATTATTTACTTAAAGCCTAGAAAATTAGGGGTTATTCCGCTCTGCAAATCAACAGTTGTGATACGTATGTAACTGGTCCTTTTTCCTGTTTTCTATCATTAGATATTTAAAAAATATTCCATTAATGATTACTTGACTTTAAATTCCAACACAAGAAAAAAGTAGTCGAGGAATACGAAGGAGAATAAGAACTTGCAACGTCGCGTCGGGAATATTTAAATAATTAATTATGATTAATATTTTCCATCACTATTTTATTGAATGACTGAAATTGTTATCGCTATTAGTACATGTACTCATAAAAAATAAGCAAAAAAAAAACCATCCTAACTCGATTTTTGTCATAACATTATAATAAAGTAGCGAGTAATTGATTTATTAGGGTTATGCTTAATGTGGTCTAATTTTAACGAATCACATTTGGTTAATCACAGGATTTAATGGATGATACTGTTGGCCTTGGTCAGCCTTGGCCTTAGAGGTCAATGCCCGCTCTAACATGTTTCGTGACATTCGCGATTCAGAGAAAGTATACATTAATGTTAGGTATATTAATAATACACAGCGCATTAAATCACACAGGATGAAAAAGAAATGTTGATCTTTTCCTAATTATATATTATATCACATAAGTCGCTATTTTACTACTGAATATAGAGTAATAACAAAGGTATCAATCATTGAAAAATGTAAAATCGTATCACATACGATTCATTACGCAAGAAATTTAATGCGTTTTTAATACGCTCTGGTAATGAACCTCTGTGGCCTTGGTTATCCTTGTGTTCAAGTAATACAGGTTACAGCAGTTATTTTTATTACACGTAATACTTAATAATACTATCATCTGTAATAACGAACTAGAAACAGGGCGTCTCGTAATGGCCGCTTCGACAGGCCGGCGACTGAGTTAATTATTACATAGACGATATAATCTATGATTCTAAATATACTCTAAGATTTAACATTTTGCTGAGGTTGGTGGCGATAAACTTGGCGATGAGATTTATTTTTATTTATAATGCATGTAGACGTAATATCATGTTTTCAACTTATGGAGAAACTACTCCGGTCTCCGACATATGTTTTATGTTCCGATAAAAATATGTGAATTGACATAGTTTTAAATGTGGATTCCTTATAAATATTCATTATAATCGGTCACTTAACTGTCAAGATTTTTCTCCCTTTTTTATTCCATAAACATGGTTTAATGGAATTCTATGAAAATGCAACGGGAAATCATCTTTGGCCTCGTCAGTAGTCATTGGTAACTGTTATTGAATTCTGCGGTAAAGATAACAATATCTTAAGATTCTTATTCCGATTTGAATTCATAAACATTGTGCTGGAGATAGAAAAGGTTTTATTTCATTTAAAAATTTATGATTGTTATCTATATAGACTAATATTTGTATATTTATGTATAATTATCAAATTATGAACATTTTCGTTTAAATTAATCCTCCGCTCAAGTTTCTATTCAACCTAGATAATATGTGGAAACTTTTATACATAGTTATTGCAGTTTTGGAACTTGAATTATTTTAATATATTCAAAAAGGTCGTGTTATCAGATGGTAAATCAAGTTAGGAATAGTATATTAAGTATTAAGGTATAATAATTAAATCTCGTAATTTATAATGTTAACACAGTCAATGGAAAGCCGGTAGTTTTGGTTACAAAAAGGAATTATCAATTGTAAATTGAGAACTAAAAACGAATGCAACCTACTTTCTAAAAGTGTTTCCAGTGCGGGAATATCTTATACAAAATATTTGAATAGTGTAAATCGACTAAGCTATAATATTGATACATACAAATAGCATGAAAAATGTTTTTTGTAAAAGAAAACTACTTTGTTCTCGACTAAGACCAAACAATATTAGTACTTTTTTAAATGATTTTATTTTATATTTGCAATATCCTTTTTAAATACAAAGTCGAGAGATTCCAGCGTGGGAAAAATTCATTCTAGTTATTGAAGCGTAACTAATTGAAAACGTAGTTTCATCGACTTTATCTAGTAAATACAGGCATAGAATAAGTTCTACGTGCGCAACGCTTCAAGTAAAAAATTTATTGCCTTAGGTGACTATTATTTAGGAATCCATCTAACTTATTAAATGTTTAACAGACGCTGAAATAACTTGTAATTGCATTTTATTTTCTTTGTGGTCATAGTTTTTTCTAGATGGGTACATGCCAAAGTGTCTTACTAAATTTTTTATGCAGTAAATAAGAACAAGTTTTGTTTGAAATTTCATTATATTTTTTATTCTCATTAATTATTGTATTTAGGTCTATAAAGCTAAATTTATTAAATCCTTAATATAATAAACAAATTTTAGGCTAAGACGGAGATTAAAGACGCCAAAAGATACGATGCGTTTCCTATACGGTCAAGTTTTATTTAAAATGTTGTCTTTTCTAGTGCTTTAATTTGATTAGGGCGGGGGTAACAAACCATTGTTTGACCGGTCACTGACACAGAGTAGGTATTTGAGACATTGGAATAGTGCTAACGAATCGATTCAGCACGGTGTACCGGTCGTTCCGGTAAAAGATTGTGTCATTAGCAACATTTTTTGTAAATATTTAGTTTAAACTTTATATAAGTTAGAGAATATAAACATTGTTTTACGTGTTAATGTGACACGTTTTATACGTGATCAATTTAATGAGTGTTAGACTTTTTCACACGGTATGCTTCAGGCTATTAGAATGTTAATATTTTCTTTTGAGGCTTTCCAGCTCGTTAGAAAAAGTGTTAATGAAATCCAGTTTTAATAGTATGTTAATGCGCGTCTGTGTAATAACCCAAAGCTAGTTACCAATTGCGTGTGAAAATATGGAATTGCGAGGCGGTCAGCTTTGCGTCGTTCAGTAATTACAGTGCCTACGTCACACATGGTATCTTCATGATGCACATACACGTCGATGCATCCGCTGCTAAATAATAACTGTCTATAAATACATCTGCGGATTCTATGGAAGTATGTATCTAATTTTATCCTCTTTTGTTACAGAACCACCAGCCAATCCCAGTGGAGAGCTGCCTGTTACTATAGATCATCAACAGGATGTTAACATGTCCAGCAACTTAACAAGAAATGATGCAAACTGTGACAAGACAGGAACTTGCTATGATGGTACTATAAATATAAATTATAGCATTCTTCCTCAGTTTTATATGACGCTAACTAATGATTGTTATTTCAGTGTCTGTCCACTGCAAAGACACTAGGATCGCGGTACAAGTCCGTACAAACAAGCCTTTCAATGGAAGAATCTATGCACTGGGCCGCTCGGAGACATGTAACATAGACGTAGTCAATAGCGATCTATTCAGACTTGATCTCACAATGGCCGGTCAAGATTGTAATACTCAGAGCGTCGTAAGTTTAGATTTTCAATTATCATCGTAATTACAAACGACATTCTTTCTATATTAACAACGTTGTCTTTTGGTTGTAGACTGGCGTTTATTCAAACACTGTGGTGTTGCAACATCACAGCGTTGTTATGACGAAAGCGGACAAAATCTACAAAGTGAAGTGCACATACGACATGAGTTCAAAGAACATTACATTTGGAATGGTGCCCATCAGGTTGGTAACAGTGAACTGACACGATAACGTTGAAAGCAATTGAAGATGTCCATATAAAATGTCTATGACTAAAGCGATTGTCTATGCAAGACAAACAACGGGAGACTTTGAGATAAAGCTTCTGGGAAATGACCTTAACAGATTGATACATAACATTGTCGGTATTAGAATTTATAGTATCGTTTTTGCTATTTGTCATTCACAACAAGACAATATATATTTATTTTCTTATCAAATGCTTAAACTATCTAAATGATTTATAGCTCAAATACTATACAATATCATTGATATATAAAAAAAATCTCTTCTCAAAATCACGCTACTTACTCTCTTTAGAATTCATTCTATTATAGCGTGAAATACTTTTCACATACCAACACACGAGTTAAATTCTGTTGACCTAAATCAGATTCTGAATTATACATAAAACAATTAGATTCAACTATACTAGCGGAATGTCTACGCGTTAGGAATTATAAATGACTTTTACCACCTTCTATGGATTTTTAAAAGCCTTTGAACAGATACAATAAAATCGTGAGTTGTCATCGATATAGATATGTAAATTACATGTAGTTCATTGATATTCCTTTGTGTATTGTAATATATGTAGGTTTTGGGTTGGAAATTAGATGTGTCCATAATATCAGTTTAACCTAAGATCATAAGTTATAATTATGTTTATTTTCGCGGATAAATAAAACGGTCCGCAGCTATTAGTTATTCCTCACTTAATTTTGAACTAGTGAATCTAATTCAATTTTCTTTCTAGGGACCCGGAGATGATCTCCATCACTGCCGCACCTGAGGCACCTCCACCACGCATTCGCATCCTTGATAGTCGACAACGTGAGGTCGAAACTGTTCGTATTGGAGACAGGCTCACCTTCCGTATTGAAATTCCCGAAGACAGTACGTATAGATTTAATACTATTTATATCTCTTTTTTTTGGGACATAAAAAGAACGAGTTCTTAGTCTTATAAATAACTTTGCCAATAATAACAATAGAATTATACTTATTGACATTCGCTTGGAATGTTTTAGTGGAATTGATAAATGTGTGTCATTACAGCTCCATACGGCATTTTTGCACGCAGTTGTGTCGCTATGGCTAAGGATTCCAAGAGCACGTTCCAGATCATCGACGACGATGGGTTTGTATTAAAATATATTAAATAAATTATATTACGAAATGTTTAAACTATATGATTATTTCTTGTCTTACAGATGTCCAGTTGATCCGTCAATATTCCCAGCGTTCAATCCCGATGGTAACGCATTGCAGTCCGTGTATGAAGCCTTCAGATTCACTGAATCATACGGTGTTATATTCCAGTGCAATGTGAAATACTGTCTGGGACCATGTGAACCTGTAAGTATATACGTGAGAATTAATAAATAGTAGAACTACGGATATTAACTATACCTTAATCGTTTTCCTAGACACTTTTAGTAGGAGAAATGGTATGATAATGTCATTCTTTTAAAATTTTAGGCGGTTTGTGAATGGGGCAGAGAATCAATAGAATCCTGGGGCAGAAAGAGACGTTCTTTACCCAACAACGAAACAAGTGAAAATCACTCTCAAAAGGAAGACATGAATATTTCTCAAGAAATATTGGTTCTTGACTTTGGTGATGAAAGACAGAGTACTGACTTCCTCCGATCCGATAAACCTGGTGGCTCAGCATCAGAGACCAATTTTGGAGGTAAATACTTTAATTTAAGTTTTAATTTAAAAGTAAATTATTTGAATGTACCTTGATTAATTCAATTTTATTGTATTGCAGAAAAAACAGTAACCATTGTGGAGCCATGTCCTAGCAAGTCATCCGTACTGCTGCTAGGAGTGGCCTGTGCGCTGCTGGTACTGTTGTACATCGCAACTATCTTCTGTTACTACATGCGTAAATGGCTGGCGCCACCTAAGCATTTGTCGTAATTCGTCCTAGAACTGTAGGACTAACATTACTATGCCGTCCATATAAGAGGTTCGCCTGTTTATCAAACTTGTGATACGAATGACTGATTACAAATTCCATACACTTCATGTCATTATATCCGTCCATATAGATTTAGAACGATTCGTGGTGACAGAATGTTCTTCAATAAATGTAACCACCGCGTCTTTTGATTTACGTAATCGTAATTAATTGCATTTAGAAGCATTTATTAAATGTAAGTAGGTATACGAATAGGTGAAATATGTGGCTTATTATTAATTATAATAATTATGATGCCGTATAACTTGTAGCTGTTCTAAGTATTAATTAAAATATTATAGTTATAAGGATTTTCAATATTAAATTCAGAATATGCATTTATTACTAATAGTAGTCTTAAGGAATAAAATATTATATTCTATACTTTTTGGAATAGTCCCTGAAAATTGAAAATGTTCATTGGTAATTCAATGGGATTATTCTGAATGAATATTTCAATTGGTTTTTGATTGGCGAGTACAATTAATGTTAAAGTACTAATTTTTAAATTTCTAGAAGAAAGAAAATCTTGTAAATATACTGTTATTTGTCAGAGGCACTAACAGTTTTATTTGTCTCATTGCTTTTGAACTTTCAGTTGGGTTCTGTAGAAATATTATAATTGGTCATGAGACGTTGAACTGGTGTGAAACTGTTTCTCCTAACCCAACTTGAGATTTCTACTTTATTTATTTAGAATTACTATAACATCTATTTATTTTTTATACTGTATTAATACATGAAATAAATTTTGTACAAATTTAAATATATTTTTTATTTCATCGCATAACAAAGGTATAAATATTCAACAATTTTCTATTTTTGGTAGACTTATGACATTAATTTGTTTCCACTAATAATTCACTACAGACATCATTAAGAATTTCTTGTTGTATACTTTTATTTAACTCCTCTGACTTGCATTGAAATACATCTTCAAAGTTACGGAGGAATATTGGAGTTATTTTCTCGGTAGTATATTCAATACCAGTTTCTTTGCTAAGAGAGGTAACACCCTTATCAGCTATACCACAAGGGTCAATATGCTGGAACCATGACAGGTCATTGTCACAATTTATTGCTATTCCGTGTGTTGTGACATATCGAGATGCATGAATTCCAATTGCAGCAATTTTATTTTCTTCAACCCAAACTCCTGTATGTGGAGATCGTTTTGCTTTTACACCTAAAATAATTAATCATAAGTTTATTAATACCCACCATAAATTAAAAATAAGGATAATATTATGAATAATGTAATTCTTAGTTTGTGTACAAGCATATAATTCAACCACTCACCTAATTCTTCACACAGCCTTATAACAGTTTCTTCTAAGCTATTAACATACCATTTTACACTGGTTTTGTAATGTTTGAGGTTAATAATGGGGTATGCTATAAGTTGTCCTGGATTGTGAAAAGTGATTAGACCTCCTCGGTTAGTTTTCTTGAATTCCGCTCCCAGGTTTTTTAGTCTGTAGATTTCATCATTTGGTGTCTCATCCCTTATACCTGGAAACAATTCCTTATTTTAGTCAAAATAATAGGCTACACAGCTATATATTAATAATATATTACACACGAAAAACCAGTAAAATACATGAGGCAATTGGTTTTTATACAAAGAAATATTGAGATTTTAGGTTATATTCTTACCCACAGTATAAACCGGTTTATGTTCTACGAGCAGCAGAGTGTCATAGTTTGTAGTAATTCCTTTCATCATTGCATCTAAATGCTTTCTTGCTATCGCTAATTGGATATTTAAAGCAGTATCATAATTCATAAGGCCCAATTTCCACACTTTTACCATATTTAGTTATTTATAACGGTATTACAAAAACTTAAATATTCTATTCATTAACAGGAAATAATTAAAACATAGGTGTATGTGTTTTTTTATTTATTTTTATAATTATTTAAATTAAATAAAACAAAACAGTGAATATGTCAAGAAGACATTTTTGACAAATATGGAGAAAATCCAATGTATACTGGCCCTATTGGTATTAAAAAAAAATATTTTAAATAATATTAATATAAAAACAATAACTTATGACCAAATATACTATCTATTTTTAAATTTTTAAAATACAAATAAATATTTTTATTTAAGTGCTCCAGGTGCTGTCATCTTATCTAAGTAACAACAATTACGTATTTGGTTAAGTTTTGTTACTAGTTAAACACTGAAACGTTAGATGTCACTTTCGTAAAAACTGTTCATTTCATTCACCTTAGATACTATGATGCTACTACACTTAACGCAGTACACAAATTTCTGTTGAAAGCAGGTTCAGTTTGTTACGAGTTTTTGCCTGTAGGGTGGTGTTTCGTCTGTTACATAAACCAGCTGTTAATATAAACAGTGTGATCATAACAAAAATATTTAACCTAGAACTTATTTCACTTTTGAAGATCAAATAGGAGATATTTTGGACTTTGGAGTAATTATTTAGATTTTGTTTGTTAAATTTATCGTTTTATTAGGTTTAAATAAGATACCATTACAGTGCCTAAATGATTCGCGGCAAAAGCGTTTTTATTTATTAAAAGTTAAAAAAATATTTTATATGTCGTGTTTAGATAAAGTGCTAGTGCCATCAGAAATGTGGAATTCAATAAAACGATGACAACAGGGGTATGATTTTTATAAGCTATATACATAATATATTATCTTTACATAAAAAGTAACTCCATGATATTTTTTATTTAGGTTATTGCTGTTAATGTGCCGTTTTGTTGCAATTGACTATTATTGTTTACATTTATAATTTTTTCAAAATAACAAATATATTGCTTTTAAATTATAAAATAAAGAGACATAATAAAACCTTAAGACGAGTCACCCTCAAAGAGGTTATATATTAAAAAAAGTAAAAGTACTCTTCGCACCCTCAGACGCATCATACAGAGCACTGACATGAATGTATTTTTAAAAGGCCCTTGTTTACTTCAAGCACTATTGTGTTAGCATATTCTGTAAGGTCAGGTCTAAGAATTAATAAAATTACTTGTTTGAAACATTATTTTTTTGAGAGTATCTTTTTAGTATATTTCATTTGTAATTGCATGTTATGGAATGAATTTATTTAATATTATTAAGAGTTAATAGTATTTGAATGATATAGGATTAATAATTGACTACGTGTTTTTGAAGTTTTGAAATTGTGATTTATTTTCAAACAATCGTTTTTGCTAGATATTCCAGGCATTACGAAGTATTACTTATATTTACTGTTTGGAGTTAAAAGGGACATATTTATTATGAATATAAACAGCGCTTGGGAGAACATTTATTCTTATTTGTTTATTTTTTTAGAATTTCGTTTCTTAAAAAACTATCCAAGGGATAACAGCTGGAAGTATTCTTTGTCAGGAAACTCGTATGTGATAAACACAGCACATAATAAATAAGGAATAAGATTAAACAAGAATAAGAATACAAAACATTAGATTCAATTTATTCTGTATAGAAAAACATCATAATTGTATCTTTCAATAAATACTTTTTATAGAAAAAAGTATCAGAAAGAAGAGAAATCGTAACTAATAGGTATGTAACGTTGTGTGTTCTATAAAAAATCGAGAAAAGAAAATTCTATTAAAATTCCTATTTTATATTAATTGTATTTTTTTTGGATATGACTAAGTAGGCATCACATTAAATCTGAAAGCAAATATGACATATTTTATGAAATTTAAACCTGTTCACGTAAGAATATGGGAACAAGATTGTCAAGTGGCTATAAAGTGCTAGAAGTTCTCTTGTTCAGCAATATTTAATTTATTAATTGTTCGTTACAATAACGTATGAGTTCTTTTTGTGTAACTGTAATAATTTTAAAATATATTAATATACTACATATATAATGACAGACATTTCATCTAAATATATGTATTATTACATCATAAAATATTTGTAAAGTAAATAGAACTTATACATTTTTAATAGTTTTCTATATAACAAACTCTCAGGACGTAAATATGTTATAGGGTTTTCTCACGGAGAAACATGTTGACGATGACCGATATGAGACGAGATATTACAAAAATATCATGAAAGTTATTCTTATACTATTTATAATGTTCAATGTTTGAGATAGTTGTAAATTATCTATTATTATCTTTATACCTATATAAAAATGAATTGCTGTTCGTTAGTCTCAATAAAACTCGAGAACGGATGAACGGATTTATCTTATCTTAGTCTTGAAATGTTCGTGGATGTTCAGGGAAAGTTTAAAATTAAAAAAAAAATTGAATTTATTTCCAGAAAAACCCTAAAAACAGCCCTTTTCTATTTCCCATAGAAACGTTTTTTTGACATTAGATTTGACAACTAACTTATATGTCAATCATCCTGTTGATTGAAACAGGAAAATTTTATAAACACCAATACCTGGTTATTTAAGACGGAATAGAGTTCGCCCGGTTAGCTATACATACCTATGTACATTACTAATGACGAAGTTAACGCGGACGAAGTTGCGGGCAAAAACTAGTAGATAATATAATAACATTCAAAGAGTTTATTGCTATTTTAAAATAATTAGTAATTTATTCTATGATATGTTACACTTGTATATTGGATATTCGAAGATAATTATTGTTATTTGAATGGGCACAGTGAACAAAAACTTTAAAGGTTTCGCTCGTTAGCAGTGTTCTTTAAATAAGCTTGTTTACTCGATTGAAGTAGAATAAGGGTTAAAAACCGCTAGAAAGGTAAACAAGTGTCTAATAGGTGATGCGGGAAGGCCGATGTTTCCGTCCGGAGTATTTTTAGTTGGGGTGTGCGCACGCGCAGCTACATGTGTTTGATGACTTCGAATCGTCAAACAGAACGCTGAAAGTTTTAATATTATTTTTCATAGAAAATATTCCTTTTGTTCTAAGCTGGTAAATCATGAATCAATTACTTTAAAATTATCGATGTTAAAATTTTAGTATGAGTGTTCGTCCTCGACACATTGCTTGTATTTATGTAAGGCATCAATAAATAGAATCATTTTAAGGGAAATACCAAGTCTCGCTCTAGCTGGTTGAATTTTATTGAACTGTTATATGGAGTTTATATACATAATTGATGATTCCATTGTAAATTTCAATATTTTTTGGAATAGCTTAAGCAAAGTTAAACGGAACGTGATAAATGTTTGCTTAAAGCGAAAGCATTGGGCAAAGTTTTGCGGAGTAAAAGTAACATTCGGTTAAGAACTTTAGACAGTCAGTAAAATAAAGAGGAATTACGAGTTAATTTATTTAAATATTAAACGTATTCCAAATAACAATTAATATAACTTATCCGAAAGCTTAAGTTATGTTTAAAGAAATTATGTTTTGTTTTTGCTTTTAGAAAAAATTACGGTAGTTGATTTACAAATTGTTGCACATGATTGCTACTTAATAGGTTGGACGATGATAATTGATTGGAAGTTTTCGTCTTAAGCATTTTTTTTCTGACGGTACCACCGTTGCCATGGCGGCGGCGCAGTAGGCTGCAAACCGTGACGGGAATGACAACGCAGTGGATCGATGTCGGACCAGAGATTTTTTTATCACCCCACAGAGGCTGTGATCTCTTGTAAAGCCTTATTTGGCCAAATCTTTCCTACATTCCCCAATTTTTAGGGATTTATATAATACTATGTAAACAGAACGAGGTTCGTTGAGATCATAAAGTTATCCACGAGAGGAAACTCTGTTGACTTCAAATATTTATTCAAGAAAATATATTTTATACAATCTATTTGAAAGTTCTTTCTTTATCTACATATTGATTCTCGATTTTAAACAGCTGTAATGTTATGCTTTAAAACACGTAAATAGTTCTGTCTTAATGAATATTCTAAATTATTATATGTATTTTAAATTAATTATAACAATTCTAGTGACACACACATTTAAAAGTGGATTTTATTTTGATTCTGATGAACTTATCCACAAAAAGGGTTTGTTTAGGTCGCGAGTAATTGAAAAACACGAGCATTCTGATAAAAACTTCCACAATTGTAATAATTAAAATCAATGATATGACTTGGACCAGTAATTAGCGATATCGATACTAAGTATTTTCATCAAACAGAAATACTGACTACCAATAACTTGAACTAATAATTCTTTCAAACAATTGGTTAAAAATTCTATTGTCAAAATAATAATCTCACAATGTAATCATAAACTCATAAAGAAGTCTCAAGTCAAATGTTATGTAATAAACTAGATATCGATAAATAAACTTCCTTATATCTTTATATTTATATTTACTCAACCTTTAAGAAATTTTAAGAATCTAAGTGAAAAGCTGTTTAGTGTTACCTAATATTCAGTATAAGATTACTTCTTTTAATAGATCATATCAGTTTTTGCTAGCGCGACATTATGTCTCAAATATTTTGCTACGACTTCAATTGGAGTTTAACTAACTTATTTGATATAAAAGAGATTGTGTTCTGTTATATTAAAATCTTAGAGATCATGTAATAGCATGTTTTAAATTACCTCAATTTTATGTATAACGTCACATTAACCTTCTTAACATCGCAGGCATGTTGGGATAATTATTTGGACAATGATCGTAAATCGTAAACTTCCTCTTGCTCTTACTCTCATTTAACTTTACCATGTGTTGCTTGTTCTATTTATAATGAAGTCATTTTATGTAAAGATATATTTTTATTTAATTATCCGACAGTCGGTTTCAGTTTAACGTTTTATTTTCTCAATATTTTCCAAAAATAAGAACACAATTGAATAATATCATCGTTAAAGAAATATTCTTTGGAATTGATTTGCATATGGTAATAAAAT